TGGTTAAACAGGTTTGAACCGGTTCAATCCGGTTTTCACCAAAATAAATAATTTTACATTGTTTTCGTTTACATTCTTTACATATTTTACTATATCTGTGTCTTTTTAAGATATCAATCCATTTTATAATGATTAAATTATCAAAATATTTGTTCATCTATAAGAAGGTATTAAAACTATGACTTAAATTGATCCATAATCTATTAACTGCTTTTTATTAAAGCCATACTCCTAATTTATCTATTTTAGTAAGCAAAATATCTATAAATAACCAATTTGTAAATTTTAGATTTAGTTACATTTATTTAATTAATCTAATTAAAATATCACCACTTACCATGATAGTTTGATAGAAGTACCATTATTCTCATATAAATTTCCAAATTTATAAGGTTTTGATTTTTTATATTATATGGCATTTAAATATTTTTAAAGCATCTATATGTTTATAGCGTTTATTATTAAAAATAGTTATGTTATCTTGAAATGCAACTTAGCAAAGTTGTTCAAATCTGTTTATTATATTATTTCCTAGATGTGAAGAATTGTAAATCCTTAAACTATTAATATCCATATGATGCCGCTGAACAAATTGATGGTGAAATCTAATTACTTTATCAATATTATAATCTAAGAATATTTGTTTGTTCTGACCTCATATATTATTGTATTTATGTTAATAATATAAAGAAATAAAATTAAATAGGCATGAGAGATAACTCTTTCCGTTGCCTTTTTACTTATAATATTCTATTAAATAAATTAGCCTATAATATAGATAAGTGCAAAATCATATCTAAAGCTAACCATGGAGCTAATTTGGAAAGACATGTTTAAAGCATTCTAAAAAACATGAATTCCTAACTATAAAAAAAATAAAGATTTCCAAATCTATTCTGCCATCAATATCGAAATCTTGCTGTAATATTTCTATTGATTAATCATTAAATTCTATAACCAGGGTAAAATAAAAATACGTTATTGAGTTCTGGTACAGAATTATGATTCTTATATATTTTTTATATATTATTCAAAGATATTTTTGATATAAATTAATTTCATCTATTTTATTTAATGAACAATATATTAACTTAAGTGATGAAAAATTTAATAAATAATATTCATAATTAAATTCATATACTATGGTGTTGCTTCAACAATAATAATTTAAATTTTTTTATGCTAAATGAACCTTTATAAGTATTTACGATTCGCTGTACCTAAATGAATCTTTATAATTTTTTCTCATTGAACCGTAACTTAACTGAACCATTATAAATAAAGGTTCGGATACCTGAATAAAGCAATAATAGCTGCATATATTTACGATTGTGATAGTAAATTATCAGGCTCCGCTAGGTTATTTAATTTATGAGGAATATTTACTATAACGTATATATTGAGCCTTCCATTAATTATAGAGAGAAATTAAATAAAAAGAAAAAGTGGAGGTACATTTTAAATAATCATCTACAATCACTATTCCTCAAACTACTAGTTTTACGATAATTTACGTCAAGCTTCCTCAAAAATGCATTTTTAATTCTGCAAATTCGATATTGATATTGCTTTCCCATTGAAACTCTTCTAAAAGAACAAACAAAACTTTTTAACAATGATGTAAAGGTTATTAAATAATAAATTTGATTCTTCTCTTTAGGCAATATTTCTTTTCAAATCTGGAGGCTTAGGACTTGGATCTCCAAAATATACTGTCAACGTATTTTTCATATCTTATACAAAATCCGTAAAACACATCATTTCCAAAATCATTTCAATTGGTAATGATAGTTTTATAGAAGAAACCTTAATACTGCGATATCATTATCTTTATAAATACTAGCCTATACCATTTTTTCAAAGCAAAAAGATTGGGATCTACGATTGTTATCTCTTTCCTTTACTAACCTCAACTTGAGCGATGATCACCAATACAAATCCCTCCTCAGGATGCTTTTCAAATCTCCAGTTATGAATGGCTTCATTCCTACCACAGTATGTTAAATATTCAATTAATAGATTACGACTCTTTTTTTTATGCAATCGGTTTGCGCCTGGGGACACCATTTTTAAACCAATACATTTGCAAAAAATGTAATCAGGCCATAGACTATTTTGGACGTTATGCGCTCCTTTGTAAATTCATATGAAATATTAATCGCCATAACAAAATAAATACAGAGACCTGCAGGCCCGGCCCTAAGCCCGGTAAGTATTTTAATTTTTTTTAAATATAAGCCTTATATTAACAAAATATTTTAAATCGCCATTATAAGCTATAAAAATCAAAATTAAATATAATATATTTTAGAAAAATCCGGGCTAGGCCAAGCCAGGCCGAAAATTTTTTAAAAATAAATCCAGGCCAATCCGCACAAAGATAAATACACTTTATTATTAAAATAGATTTTGTGTTATCTTGAAATGCATCGTAAAGTTGATTTGCATATTAAATTATTTCCTAGATATGAAGAATTGTAAATCTTTAAATTAATAATATTCATATTATGTAGATATATAAATTGATATTAAATTCTAATTAGTTTATCAAATAATCTCAGAATATTTGTTAGCTCTGACCTTAATTTTTTGTAATTATATTGAAAATATAGAGAAAAAATAGAAATTTATTTTTATTTTTTTTTTGGAAAAATTCAAATGGTCGGCATCAGAGTTAACTCAGTTTGTTTCCTTTTTACTTATGTTATTTTAAATGAATCAGTCTGTAATAGAGATAAGTGCAAAATCAAGGTGACTATGGAACTAATTTGGAAAGATATGTTCAAAGGCATTATTCTAAGGAACATGATTCTCAACTATAAAATAATTAAATCTTTTCTGCCATAAATATCGAAATATAGCTATGATATTTTTATTAAACAGTCATTAAGATTATGAATAAAAACTTATTAAATTCTTGTACAGAGTTATGATTCTTATATATTTTTTATATATTATTTATAGATAAATAAATTAATTTCATGACAAAAATTTAAAAAATACGAATCATAATTATAATTCAAATATGATGGTGTTGCTTTAATAAAAAACACTTACAATTAGCTGAACTAAAACGAATCATTTTTTTCTCAAAATCGTAACCGAACTTTAACTATTATGAATTTGAATTCAAACTGAACTATTATAAGTAAAGGGTTGAGGCGCTAAAAGCAATAATATTTTTTTATCTTCATGTGCCACGTGTAATTACAAAAATATTCGACGAAACAAGTTTGACAAGTAAGTTTTAAGAATTTGTACATCATTAATGGGTAAAATCCATTTAATATAATAAATATTATTAATAAGGTACATATATTTTTATAAATATTATATTATACCTGGTACTACTTCTGGGAGTTATTTAATAAATATAGTTTACATTTAAGATATTTCTCTTTAGCATGGATAAACAAATTACAGATGTTTCCTGATCAGTTAAAATTTTAGCCAAGTCTAGCCGTTGTATATATTGTTAGCAGAACCGTAAAAAATTAACTTAAATAAACTTCATTTTATTTTTTTAATATTTTTATCTTAGAAGTTTTGTGGTATAGTAAGAGTTCAATTTTATCAAGAACCTACAGAGCTTTACTTAGACTCTAATCCTATCTAAATTTAAGAAATTGAAGGTAACCATAGGAAACGCCGTCCACCATCTTTGTACAGGATGCAACTAATTGTGCAAACACAAAACATAAAGGCTCCCAAAAACATACATGTTATATAAAAATAAGATATAAAAGTCCAAGTTGATTAAATAAATGTTGTGATTGGGGTGGTTAATCTAAATTATTTTAACTCTTTTTTTGCATTATAAAAAAAGGGGGTCTTTAGAACAAAAATATAAGATTAAATAAAATAAAAATATCCAACAAAGACGATCATCTACTTTCAAGAAAAAATGGAATATTTGATATACAGGAATAGGTTTAATAAATAGTTGATAGTTACTTAAAATGATAATTAATAATATAGACAGAAAATAGTTTTTTTACCTTCAGCTTCCCCAACTATTACAAAAAGATATATGATTTAAAATGATTTATAAAATTATATAATTCCTCTATTATTTTCCTTTTAAAATTCTATATATGTAATTAAATTATGGGTATAGTGAGAATCTCATTCAAATTATAAATATAAATTCTAATAGAATATTGAAAAAAGTGTACAATATTTCTCATCGAGACACGGTTTAATACCTACATTAATTCGCAATAGATGGGCACCCTAGAAAAAGGATCTATCTTAAATTACCTCTTAGAACAATATATCAGTTTGCAATGTGAATAAGTGGATTGAAAAAGTTTACAATTATATGGGGCTTTCATGGCCATAAAAAATCTATCGGGGTGGATAATAAATAATTTACCTATCGCATAATAATAGGAAATTTTTCTATTCATTGAGCGAGGATAATATGTGAAAATTATTAAAATATCATATTTATACCACCGTATTCTCCACAATTGAATATAACCGAAAAATATTACGAATTTTCTAAAAATTATAACCAATAAAATTATTCTAAGCCAATTAATAGAAAAATGATTGGATTTGTAATTGATTTGTAATATATAATATTTTATTTCAGGGTTGGGCAAATTTTCAGAAAATTGCATCCGGATACATATAGATGCTTTTTAAAATTTTGTATTTAAGATAAAAGATATTATACTCAGGAAAAATTTTAATAAGATACAAGATACTGTTATGTTTAAGAAAAATATCTAACGAACAAAATACAAAAACTTTAAATATTCAAGATCAAATGTATCAAGTTTTATTTTTAGACAAATATGTTATAAAAAATAATAAATTTTAGAAAATGACATTGTTAAATAAGATAATGGGATATAAAAATATATTTTTTAAAATTGTATATTATAATAATGAAAACAATATCAGAATAAAAAATTAATTAGTAAATATCAATAAATCAACATTATAAATCAGTATTACTTTTTTATATTATTAATTTTCAAAAATTTTGTCGTGTCTTATTATCATATTATCTAAACTAAATAATTGTTCAATGGAATAAATATTTCATTTATATATTTTTAATAAATAAGGCTATCAAACATCCATTTCGTATAGCTCATCGAATCTATCATTAATATAAAAATATTATAAAATATTCTAAATTTAGCAACAGATTAATATGGAATGTGAAATAATATAATTTATAAATGTGATTAAAATATAATTATATAATATAATTTTAGATTCTTGACAAATTATATGATGTCCATAGAACCATATATCTTTTGTATTCTTTATATTTTGCAGTAATTATTTGTATTTCATGTTGAGTAACACTTAATTTAAATTTATAATTACATTCTCCTTGTGTAGAATCATCATTGTTTACATTTTCCGATATTTCTATAATTATATCTATAACTTAGTTTATAATTTAAAAATATTGTAATGATGTATCTAAAGTGATTCATATGAAATATGGTAGTTGTTTAACAAATTGCTATATGAAGACCAAAGCCATATATCACATGTTCATTATCTTAAAATATCTAAACACAAATTTTTTAAAGTATCTATATCTTTTTGATTATAAAATTTATTAAGTTAGAGATATTCTTAAATAATTTTTATCATAGATATAGACATCCGCTATACTGGGCAATTCCGTTTTATATACATAGAATAAATAATAAATGCTATTATTTATTTAGATGTCTTGAATTGATCTAAAAAAAATCTAAACATATAAGAATAAAGTGAATAATTTTGAATTTTCTTTCATGCTTAATGCGAATAAAATATTTGTATAATACTTTATTAATTTTAAAGATTTATAAGGTATTTAGAGAAGAACAATCTTAAATGCAAAAATGGTCGTAATAAATTTTGCAATTATAATATTATATATTGAATTATAAATAAATATATGTTTTGATATGGAATTCACCAAACATATATAATGATTATTAATTATAAAGAAAATTTTTTTTTTTTACATTCATCCATTGACATGACTTAAAAATTCTTATCAATAATGTTTAATCAAATAACGTTTTCCAAAATAACATATTACTATAAATGTAATAAAATTTTACCCAAAAATCAGTTTAATTTTAAGTAGAGATAAAGATATAATATATTATTATAAAATTTGATAAACAGTGTTAGCTTTTTCAAACAAATAATGATTGGAAGATAAAATGATAATCAATTACAAAGCTAGAATATATATGTTTTACCTTCAGGTACCTCATCTTTTATAAAAATATTTACGATTTAAAAATCATTTTATAAAATTATATGATTCTTCTATTTTATTATTTTTAAAATTCTATGAATTATAAGAATACCTAATGGTAAACAATAGAATTAATATGATTACAACTTTATATGAGAGTTTTTAAAGGAAAAATGATACATTAAAATTGAGTGGTATACACATAATCCCATTATAAATGTAAAAGGCATTTTGAAAAATATATTTCAATAAGAATTAAGTTATCGGATAATTTTATGAACGATTTGGAAAAATAATGGGAGAGATAGATAGCTAAATAAAAATACATGTTTTTGGAAAGTGATTGATTTGATATGGAATTCATCATATATAAATATATATATAATGATTATTAATAATTTTGTATTAAATAAGGTTTTAGATATCACATATTACTTTAAATGTAATAATTCAAAAATCGGTTTGATTTCAAATATAGATAAAGACAATATATTATAAGAAAATTGATCAGTGACAGTTATTTTAAATAAATAGTATAATGACAGATATTTGGTACAAGGTGTGAATAAATATATTTTTACCTTCAGCTACCTCAACTAAATTAAATATTTACAATTAAAATTGATTTTAATAAATGATTTTTCTATTTTTTTATTATTATTCAATATAACAAAGGATATATAGAGAGTTTCTCAGAATACTTAATGGTAAACAATAGAATAAATATGTTTATAACTTCATATACGGTATTTTAAAAGAAGAATGATACATTAAAATATGAGTAGTTTATCCATAATCCGGATTAAAAATTCAAAAGGGGTTTTGAAAAATATAATATTTCCATATTAATTAAGTTTTCGGATAATTTTATGAATGATTTGGGAAAATAATTGGAGAGGTAGATATTTAAATAAAAATACATGTATTTAGAAATATCCTTAATAGTATATATTAATTTTATTTAATTCCTATATATCCATATCGACATGTTTTTAAAATGCATTCCTTCTCTCTAAAATGATGATGCATTTTATAGCACTCAAAAAATCTTTTTATGAAATAAATTTGCGTAAAATGCCCGCCGAGGTTGTAAAGAAAATTAGATAATTTTTTGGTATGTTGTGAGAAAGGGTCTCGGCAAGATCGAAAGTAAAGACAGTGCCTACCCCAGGAATCAATATTTGTTCACCATGTTTTGATTTACAATACAAGAATTTCCTTTTAAGCTTTAGTCCACTAAAGAATAAGTTCCTATATCGAATGTAAATTGAGATTATTATAGTATGGATTTGAAGAAATTCGTAAACTTATCTTTGGTTTACATAGTAAAAAACTTTGTGATCGTTATTATTAAGGTTTGATTTATGGTATTTACCGGAACCTTCATTTAATATATACTCACAGTATAGAACGAGAGGTAATGATAGATAATTCGTTCGATGCAAACTTCCCTAAAAATCCTAAGCCTTATTGTAAAATAACTGATATATCTAGTGTATTGAATAAAGAGAATAATTTTAAAATTGTTAGATATATTTATTTTAAGTTTTGTTTTATTTCAAAGTTAATTATTTTATACCTAACGGCAATAACAATAAAGATTTTGTTTCTTAACTTAAAAAAATTGTTACAATTTACATTTTTATTAATTAAAATAACATGTAATTTTGTAAAATTAAATTCATATAAAAACTATATTAAATAAAATAATAATTAAACATTTAATTAGGTATGATCAACGGGGCTTATAGACCCATGTATGGATATGCAGTTAGAAAAGATTTCAGTTAATATTTTCTGTCGAAGGTAGAAGCCTGCTTTTTTCATCTGTGATTAAGCGTAACCTTTGCCCTGTTTTGAATAATTTTAGGGCTTGGGGTCCAAATGATTTACAGGTATCTGAGACTACCGGAACAAACAAAACATTATTAAGGTTGATATATTTGTTTGTTTTTGTGTTTCTTAATTTATATTTATATTTAATCTTAAACAAAGAACATATTTTCATTTTGCGTAACTTAATGATTGAAAATTATTTTAAGTATTTATTTTATAGATTAAGAAAATAGATATATATAGCAGTGATTTTGAAAAAGTAGATTTTTGATATTGATATTTTTATCATGTATTTTATTGATGAATGACTTAGTGATAGTTTTTGTGCACTTATGATATGCTGATAATAAAATTATAAAAAATACTTACTTATAAAGACCTCACATTGAAAACAAGAAGAGGAAGGCTGACAACGAAATTAATTAAGGTGGAGAAACCGAAAACTACATTCCTTGGTAGGTTGGACAATAGCCCAATTAAACTCAGACAAAAATGAATGTTTAAGATAACCTTAAGAAAGTTTTTAATTTCAAATCTAAAAGGGAAAAAAGTTTAATAAATGAAGATGAGGCTCTAAAAAGTTTTAAAATTTAAGGAAGTCATAGCGATTTAATATTAAATATATTAGATTGATGGGCTGGTATGCAATATTGCTTCCAATTTTTTTAAACAAATAATTCCTTTCTCTAGGCGATGGGTATTTCAAAAGAGGACGAAAGATCAATAAACTTAAATATTGGAGATTCATTTAAAAAACTCATTTATGTTTTATCCATATTTAAAACAAGACAAATAGTTGGATTCATTAATTAGGAAACAATGGCCTCCAACAAATTAGCTCTAGGACTAAATAGTTGTTAAATGTTTACTTAAATGTTAATATGTTATGAGGCGTCTATATTATTTTCAATTTATTTTATCAATTATATATTTGACTGTAAAATGATATTTAAACACATAAAAATCTTTTTCTAAAAACATTAATTTATATACACATATATATGAAAGAATTCAGACTAGTTATATAGTTAACAATAAAATATATATTTTAATCAATACTACCGCTTACCAAGCTCATATATTCTCAATCACTACTTCCGTCTACCAAACTTAAATATATATTCACAATTACTACTACTTACCAAACTTATTTATACTCAATCATTACTACCGTCTACCAGACTAATCCCTACAGATTCCGTTTTCCAGGTACAAAATGTTAAGGTGAAGATTAAATTTGAATTTCATATTGGAAACGATGTCATGCATACCTAAGCAAAGCAGGACAGAACCTAAAGTTAGGTTCAAAATGATAACTTATAACGTATCCATGCTATGCGCCCTGATCAGGTACACATCTTATGAAGGGCATCAGTAGACGGTGAATGTCAACTTCCTGCCTCCCATTAAAAAAGGAATTGGGTCAATTAAATTATTGCAAGGTCATTTAATTACTTTCACATACATTATAAAGCAAATGGGCCTTCCACGTCAAATCGATCACGATTAGGCCGACCCCTTTTAAAATTGTTAAATCTGGAATCATTTAGATAGTTAAGAAAGTGAGAAAGCCGTTTATTTTAGCTCGCTAGCACATGGTTCCCGAGTTTTAGGGACTTAAAGGTGCGAAAAGGAGCCACTTTGGAATCTGTAAAATTTTTAAAATGCTTATATCTCAAAAACTATTTATAGTAAAATAATATATAATATATCAAATTGTAGGTAAGAATAATCTCTAAAGAGCTATTAAAAACAATAAAAAATTTGAATAAGTTTGAACCGTTAACTTCCTGTTTACCTATTTTGCTTTACCTGTGTTTTTAAGCAAAAAAGGGAGTTTGTTATCGAAATTTTTTTATTGCTTTTTATTTTGACACCTTGTTAAATATATATACGATATCAAAACCTTGGCGGCGCTATCTCTAAAATTGATGAAAAAAATAGATGGCTCTTTATGAAATTACGGATTATGGTTAAAATTTTGCTGCTAACTTATCAATAACCGGATATTTTCACTTTTTAAAAAATTTCGAATTTCTATTAAATTTACT